CATTTCCAAACCTTTAATCTGATTATTTCACATATGACTTGTGTCGAGCCCATACTCTTGATTAGATCGTAGTGGGAGGTGAGGCCTTCTTTAACTCCAGTTAGAATTCCACTTGTCTCTTGTGTCGAGCCCATACTCTTGATTAGATCGTAGTGTGTGAGTCCATCTTTATTACTCCAGTCTGAATTCCACTTGCAACTTGCCGGTATTTAGGTAGATTGTAGAGATTCCACTTGCAACTTGCCGGTATTTAGGCAGATTGTACATGGTCGTAGTGTGAGGTGAGGCTTTCTTTTACTCCAGTTAGAAGAAGTGTGAGGTCTTAGTGGGAGGTGAGGCCTTCTTTAACTCCAGTTAGAATTCCACTTGTTTGTCGGTATTTAGGTAGAAGGTACAGGGTGTAACCTGGGCCCGGTATTTAGGTAGAAGGTACAGGGTGTAACCTGAGAATTTATTTAGGTAGAAGGTACAGGGTGTAACCTGGGAATTGGTTCCGAAATGTTTGCTTCCATAATTGTGAAAATGTCTTCATCACTTTAGGGATTTTCTGTACTTGGATCTTTTTGTCCGGCGACATTCCTGATTCCATAATTGTGAAAATGTCTACATCATAGGTTTGTAGCCTTTTCTGTACCTCTGTATGGATCTTTTGTCCTGTGACATCCCTTCAGCATTCCACTGGAGGATCTGAAGACGTGATTCGCCCTGACGAGGGTGATTTCTCTTATAGCCTTGTTTCAAGCTAATCATAATAAATCGAAGTCAAATCAAATGCGAAAATGATAGACTTTTTTGCCGTACGAAGATACGTTGTCCAGGTGGCTAATCATAATAAATCGAAGTCAAAAACGAATGCCGAGTCTTTTTTCCGTACGAAGATACGTTGTCCAGGGTGCACCACGTGGAGGGTACGTTGTCCAGGGTGCACCACGTGGAGGTAAGTCTATCGTATTCTTAAGAATAATTGTTTAGAAAACCAGCAAGGGTTGAGCACCCCACTAAGTAAATATTCAAGAACGAATATGCCAGATTAAGGACACGGCCCTAATAAATGACAATTTGCTATACAGTGCCCCCCCCCTTTTCAGTTAGTTTTCTGATATTACTCAAACCCATTCCATTTAAAGCCCCTAATCCTTATCATAACCTCATCGTGGAACAGCAATATTTTACCACTGCAGAAAATCAATAATCAGCCATTAATATGAGCTATTTGAAGATTATTAACTCTATAAAGGTTCGTGCACCAGAAGTTAATGGGAGCTAATTCAATTACTGACTTGAAACACGATGAAAATGGTTTTAGATTTCGCCGATTCCACTTTAAATTTCTGGGGAGCGCGATAGACTTGACTCCACGAGATACACCCTAAGTAACAAATGCTCATACCGGCAGTTGCCTTTTCACTTCAAACCATCATGACCCCACTTCCACAGTACTCACCTTATCTTTTTCTAAAGCCATTGTATCTGCTTCTTTTACATCTGTAAATCACTCTTCTGCTCCCTCTCCCCACTTTTTGCGACTTTGAAGTTCCTCTTTCTGTGAAACTCGAAGTCAAATAAAGGGCTAATGATGCCTATCATAAAGCTCGTAACAAAACCAAAAGTTATGTAAGAAAAGCCAGCATTAATAAAAAAATTTCGCATAGTGTTCTTCTTACTCAATAAAGAAAAATAGTATTTCAAAGCACGAGGGAAAGTGGAATACAGATTGATTCGTTATTTCACGCAGGTTCGTAAATATGAATAAGGCGGGCAAAAAAAAAGGCAAGCAAATAAGAGCTTTTCAAGGAGAGGAATGAAGGGTGGATCAGATGCCTGAATTAATCGTTCACGGTATTAATCAACGGAAGCTCATCCTTGCCGACGACTCTGTTAGCTGTCGCTTGCTCAGGGGCCAGATTCATGTATGCTCGCCAGTAGATTGCAGTTCCTGCTGCAGTTAGAAGGATACCGGCCCACCAAAAGGTTGTAGTGTAAACACGGAAGATAAGTACCGCCAAAACAGTTTGAAGAAGAGAACGAACGAGACCGAACGTCTCCATTCGAACGGTGGTGTATGTTGTGGCTTCCCGAAGTATAAGACAACCAAGGCAGGAGGACACCACACAGCTGAGGACTACCAAAAACCAGAACAGAAGGGTTTCCAAACTGAAAATTAAAAAAAAATGGAATTGATGAGAGCAAACACGGAGGAATTGGAAACATACCAACAGACATTTAACTATGCGTATAATATAGCACTAATGTGAGACATAGTTAAACCTATTAATAACTTCACTTCGCTTCCAAAGTAAATATCAAAAGCTAAGAAAGTCATACTCCCCAAAATTGGCATCTCAACACCTTGCATTGTATTCCTCCAATAGGTGTTATGTTGAAAGTTAGAGCTAATAATATATATCATAAAGCCTGCCAGTTGAAATAAAAATGTTGAAAATTTATGAAGTGCAGGCGCGCATATTTGTGCACTTACAGGGACCTAGTTACCTGTTGAGGGCTTTTTCTATTACTCAGCCCAAAAAACTAAGAGCTCAAACTGTCTCAACTCCTAGAACGTGCCTAAGTAGATATTCTTTATTGCAACCGAATTTCCACGCAATCCCTACTGAAACTTCTTGCCTTCCTTCCCGAAAATCAACTTTTTACCATTTCATCTTTTTTTCTTTCAGGTAGAACGGTTCTATCTATCCTATTAGCTTTTAAAGACGCCATTAGTTTCCAAAGGGGATAGTTCTCAGGCACACTTGGTAGGAACCTAAAAGTAGTTAGGGGCTATTTAGTGTCACCTCATTGTTGAAGGCGCACAAGCGTTAGTTCAAGCATTGGTAAGTAATTTGATCAATAAGAACTAGATTCAGATAGCAAGAAGCACCACTCCTAGGTACAAACGAAAGGAAATTCAACACTGACCACCATGATACCAGTAAACTCCGATTGGAAGGAGTGTCGAAACGAGGCTCACACAAGCTCCTGGTTATTTTCATTTTACCCCAACAACTATTTCGTCGACTTTTCTAGATTTGTAAGCAATTTATGCATATTCGAATATGACAACTCGGTAACTAATAGAATGCATTAGACAGTCAACTCAACAGTGAATAACCACCCCCCCCCCTCCACCCCCACTAGCAAAAGCTGGAACGAAAGCTCAAGGCCAATTACCTCAAAATAATTTATAATCATATGAATATAAACATAATTATGACCAACTTGCTAATCTATCATGTAAACTCGTTGATACTATAAGGTGAATAACACTTTTAGTGCTAATTCAGCGTCTATTACCGCTGACAATTCAAAAATCATGGAAAGAGGTAACAAAATTGGCTCAAGTCTAATGCGGAGAAGCTCACATATAGTAAGGACAATTCGTAAAATTCTTTAGGATGGATGAGTTAATCTCCTAAAGTAGTCTGAAGTTATGCTTACCCCACCACGTGGTGCACCCTGGGCAACGTATACTCATTCGGCAAAAAAGTCTATAAACTGGCAGTTGACTTCTGACTTCAAGCTACCATCACCTCACTGTATGTCATATTCAACTACTTTCATAGTACTCACCTCACCTTTCTTCTACCTTCGTCTTTGAAACACTCTTCTATCCCCACCCCCTTCTCGACCTTTTTCACTTTGATGTTCTATCCCCTCTGTGAGGCCCGAAGTCATCTAAAGAGCTAATGATAACGATCAAAAAGCCTGTCATTTGAAATAAATAAACATTCCTTGAGTCACGGATCCTCTTCCTTCTTCCGGATTTTACTGAAACGTAACAATACAAAACAAGAAAAATCAGCTCTATACAACTATAGGTCTCGGGAGTTGCACCCTAATACTTGTGTTACTTATTGATAGATAAAAGATACAAACTTTACATTACAATTATAGTAGAGTTTCAAAGAACCTTCAAATGATTAATTGGCATAGAAAAAGATTCAACCGATCAAAAATTTAGTAACAAAATAACGTAAATAAGGAGCACATTGCACGTAGCTAAAAACCACTACAATCTAAGGGTAAGTACTTGTGTGAGTGCGTGTGTTTGTGCGTGCAAAAATTTGGTCTACCCTCTCTCATTGATTTGCGAATGCACAAAGCATGGGAGGGAAGTGAGCATACTCGTTGAGATCACTCAAACGCACCAATCACCAGATTGAGAAGCTCACCACACTATGAGACCCCCTCCCCCCCCCCCGACTTGACAACCACATGCAGTTCCAACTTTTGCAAACTTTTGGCTCAATAATAGCAGAGGCTAGGGTAACAGCACACATTTCGTGAGTATAACTGTGCATCTCACAGTGAAATTGCTTAATCACACCTGTAATCACTCCGCATTAGAGATAAAGTTTTGAAGTTGCAAAGAGATAGGATCGTTGAAATTAAAAAAAAAGCTTCCAAACGTACTTTACTAACTGCAGTTGAACACAGATGAAATTAAAAGGGAATAAACAAGATGGAAGCCTATGAAGATATGAAGCGATGCTGAAAGCGAAAATAGATAAACCGGAGAGAGAGAGGGGGGAGAGAGATCATTGAGCATGGAAGGCTTAATCTCACTCTTAAACCTCTCATGAAAAAGCGAACTCTCTCCCCCCCCCCCCTCTCTCTCTCCGGTATACCTTATTGGACTGCCTTGTTATTCCATTAATTCAGTTACTTTTCCATGAATAAAACGTGCCATCAGCATAAAAAATTAGCATAGAATCTTCAATAGTTGGCCAGTTAGCTCAATCACAGCACATGAAGAAAAGGGGATGGAGAAAAGCATGAAAACATACCAATTTCAAAGCATTCTAAATCCCACAAATCTAACCACCAAGATTCTGAAAGTCAACAACGTAAACATCATTCTGTGACTCGATGACATAGTGGTGAGCGGTTGTGAGGAATTAAAAGACATTGGTAAATGCGCATTTCTAGTGAATGAAACTGTTCATTTAACTGAGTAAAAATAGTAAAGTGAAGAGGTTTCAGAATGGGTGTTTTGGAAAATGCTTCCTTCCGATACTTCTATCATTAATACCATCTGAAAGCTTGAGAAGTTCAGTTCTGATGAAAGGAAAACGACTTCACATACCATTTTCCCAATAGCATGGTATCCGTAATTCTTAAAGTTCCACATCTCAAGAAGTGGACTGAGTAAATGAAATGAATATACTATTTGGATCGTTAGGCTTATATCCCTAGTCTAGAAATCTAAAATGGTTTGGAGTGTCGTCAATTATATTCATGGGGTTCTACTGAACTGAGAAGATTTTTACAGCAAGTCTTAAATTCTGGACACAAGAGATGCTCTACTCTCCACCTCCTCCTTAGGTAATGCATTGGCTATGGCAAAGACGTGAAACCAACCCCTTTATTCTGTACTAATCCAATATGGCCTTGAACTAACCTTCCTCCTCAAACTTATGCATATCTACAATCACAAACTCCACTACAAATCAACATTGGCTATTTATGAACTGACTGACAAAAAAAAGTTTTCTGTATGCATGATCTTAAACGGAGATAACAACTTTTGTTAGTGACCTTTTTTGTGAAATTAGCCCCTTTAATTAGATTTAAAGGGTGGTCATCGATGCTAAAAATAGTTAAGCGCTAAATAGTCACCCTCCATACCACTACATGTCAAGTGAAATGTGTTATCAGACGCGGCAATAAACTGAGTTGTAAAGATAGGCATTACAAGCATTAAATGGCAAATTTATGTGAAATCGCATGCAAGCAAACCTGAAATTAACTATCAAAACATGAAAAGACCGCTCCTGCTGCTAAAAGTACTTTCCATGTTGATTTTCAATCACAAAAAAAAATACTAAATAGATGGATTACTTAGTCTCGAATAGCTTACCACATAGAAAAGGGGAGGAATAGAATCTCTGAAGTCTCCGTGAAGGCGATGGCAACGAAAGTGAAGATACTGCATACCACATTGTTGACGTAGACTTGTTTCCAATGCACTTCGTAGTTATTTCCGCTTTGCAATTGGCAGGCATCCTGATAGTAAACCACGCAGAAAAGAGAGGCGAAAATACCGAATATAACACCCTCAGCTATCAGTAGATCTTAAAGAGACCAAAAGAAGGAAGGAACTCACAAAGTGCACATTTAATAAAAATGTAGAGACTATAAAAAATGACGACAATGAACCAGCCAATCTGATAGAAAAGTGATAAAAAGTTCATTTAAATCCCCATACCAAAAGGATGTATTTATGAGAAACTTTAAAAATGCTACAGGTACTATAAACAACAGATACCTTTTGGAATGTTTAAAAGCATAAAACGAGAGAATGATAAGACGCATATTGTAGGAGATTATTAAAATTAACAAGTAACAGGAAATTCTGAGAACAAGAAGATCAAAAATAATATATAAATAATCTCTGGTAACCACCACCCTACCACCGATTTTCTAATCAGACTTGCATGAATGTTACGAGCAAATGGGTATATTGGTACTGTTATAATGACACCTGGTAATGGTAATCAAGCTTGTTTAATGCGCTTTCACGATATAAGTGCATTATTATAAGCAAAATCAGTAAAATACAGGCGATATAATGCAAGTACGCAGTGTTCCCGAGCAAATAGCCAAGGTGAAGAAAATGCTTGAGAATGACGTACAATCTGAGTTACATGGTGAATAAATTTCAAGCTTATTCTCATCCCCACCAACTCGGAACTGTCTAGTAAACTTTCACTAGCCCTATGGAAGATGGAAATGGCATTTGTTACCATAGGTAACAAATTGATTGTGGGAAAATTAAAAAATGGCAATATAACGAAAATAAACGGCGATTTTGATGAAGCTATCGTTAACAATTTATGTAGGCTAGTGCAATCTATTACCGATTAATTGGGGTCAATGAAGGAATTGTTGATAGAGGAATGATAGACTAGCATGCCTATCAAGTCAAAAGCCACGAGACCTATGCTCACTGGTGCGCATTCGGTAGGGAGAGAGAGGACGAATAAGAGATCGAATAAGGGGGAGATTGTCATACACGAATGTCTAACAACTATCTCCCAACAAACAAACTGCGCTTGGAGGACTTGTGGAAGCTTTTATGATTCATATTTCAAACAGATAATAATTACTGTAGTCCATTTGAAATACAATAATAAAAATGAAAACATTATGTCATTCCGATGAAATTTAAAATTAGTGCGACAGTGTACAAGACTACTTGGAAAATGGATTGAACTTAATGGCTAGAAGGGAAGTTGGAATTTTATAATACTACAATATTATTATTACACTCACAGTAACCGATAAAGAAAATGAAATAAATCTAATGAGACAAGGTCTGAGAGAATGCAAATAAGTCCTATGAATTACAATACAGAGTATACCCTAGTTATAAGGTACTTTTGGAGTAAGGGAATATCTACAGAACCCTCCTAACATCGAAACTAAGTATCACGTTTTTAAAATCCCATTCTGCTAATTACTTTGGGAGCACAGAGGAAGTCAAACTTAACGATCTCAAATAACACCAACATTAACATCCCTAATGTTGTTAGCATGGTGTAAAAGCTAGTATGGTAAAAGTCAACTATCCTATTAACTGTAAAACACCTAAATACGTTACGACTACTCTTTTGAAGATTAATTTTAGACCATACAAATTTAACATACATCGGTCGTAATGTAAAAAACGCAAAGAAAAAATTAAACAAAGAATATTAAGATTTTGCAGAGCTTACTGGTAAGATTTTCTTCAATCAGCGTTACAATATAACCAACAATAACTAGGAGGGCACCCAGAAGGACTCCAACGCAATTATTCAGGGAACGCCGATGGTAAGTAAAGACCTGAAAAAATAAAAAAAAAGCATATTTGTTTTTTGTATGAAGTTAATGAAGCACAAATTGAGCATAAGAAACATACCAAGCTAATCGGCACAACTAGAGAACGCGCAACGAAATACATTGGTAAATCCATGTAATAGAGACAGAGATTATTACAAATGATCATTAGAGAAAATGACAGTGGAAGTTTTATATTCTAAAAAATGTTATAAAGTGTTTATGCATTAGGGTACCAGAGAGTGTTCTCTTATATTATTCATTATTCCATGTCTCAAAGACCGCAAGATAGAAAAATTACTGGATCTCAGTTTAACTAAGCAAACAATAACAGTGAATAAACATTCAATAAAGGTGATCCAAAGAGGACCGTCGAACTAAAAGGAAAGGGTTACTAGAAGAGAAGCTATAATTATTACAAGGACATTGATATTCCAGAAGAGTGAACGATGGACAAAGAGAAGGAGTGCTGAACAAAATCCATGGAGAATAGAGAGACGTACGCCTGAGAGTAAATTAGACACACACTAAAAGACGGAATAAATACAGTTAGGAGATCATGCATTCAGTAATAAATTTGCACATAGATAGGCAAAAGAATAATTTATATTGTAAAACAAGAACAATATAAATTTATATGATAAAAAGCGACAAACGATTAGACGAGGAAATCGATAAAATAACTAGATCAAAAAGTAAGAGATTTTAAATTAGTAAAATAAAGGAAGCAAACAAGACTATATTTCTATTTCAGACTATATAATGTAGTTAACTCCAAAATAAAGAATAATAAAAAAATAAAGTATAATCCAGGAAAGACTACGAAAAATATTTGAACACTATTATGTATGTCAAGAGCAAACATGAAAAAAGTAAGTACAAAATTTTAAGCTAAAATACAAATGAGCAAAAAGAGAGTGCTACCGAAAACAAGAGAAAAGTAATTAAGGACTCATGGACTCGTTAGACAGAATGGAAATCGGCAAATGAAATTATCGCCAAATGGAATTATCGACAGATACTAGAGATAAATTAATATACAACATTTTAAATTTCGTGCATTTTACGACATAATAATAAATTACGCCTGTGATTATCTTACCATAACTAAAACTTAATTTTTCAGGACGATAGCCCACCTACGAACCAGTTCAAATCCAGAGCTAAATAACCTTGAACGATATTAGATAATTTTAATGTGTTTGATTATTAAAAGAAATATCTAAAAATAAGTTCGAATATAATAAAAAATGGAATAATCCTAATTAAAAACTAAGTAATCAAAGGTTTAATACGCAGGTTATTATCAAGTCGGTTTAATTTCGTAGAATAATAGCGGGTTTAAGTACTATACCTAACATATTTTATGATTGCTATCTCTTGTATCGACAACCTTATTTGAATTTTCCGTATAGAATTTTTGCAATTAAGTTACTCAATTAGTAGATACATTTATTTCTATTTTTCTAAAAATAAACCTGATTATTCTATTTGAAGTAAGGAGCAATAATGCATAACCTATAATTTCAGATGATTACTTCTGATTATTGCTTTAATTTCATGGAAGAGATTTATAGCACCTAGGACACTATTTAAACAAGCAATTAAAACTTCAGCTGCAGATATTGTTTTCAATGCGCGGTTTTACATTTATATTTCTATAAATTATCGGTTTTGTAAGTAGGTCGTCTAGGCTTATGTAAATAACACCAGCACCCATCATATTCATTTTACTACATCTCCTTTGTCTTATTTGGATATTTTTAAAAGGAAAATTAATTTTGAATAAGCAAAGCGACGTACATTTTATATATCCATTTAAGTTAGCATTAAGTTTTTTTACAATTTAATAATAAAACATTAGTTAGATTATCCTATTGGCGATACTGTGTCAATTGTGATTTAATTGCTCACTCATGGTCTTAATAATCACTTCATAATAATTCCCTGATTTTCTACTAATTCCACTTTCTTCACCTAAAACGTCATGCTATTTTTCGTAATAAATATCTGTGTTAAAAACAAATGATTTCATGTCTCGCACATTGAACAGATTGATGTGACCTGATTCACAAAAAGCGCTGGAAACTTCTTTATAGACATGTCTCCAAAAGTGTCCATTTTTGCATATTGTAAACTGATTTGATGTTGGTGTTCATGCCAAGATAACTAAGATGGAAATTATAATAGTCTAATCTGCTTTTAGCCGGCTGGCGTTGCTTAGTGGCAACGTCCATACCGTTCCAGTGGTTTGATTGATTTAGCTTTCATTACCGCAAAATCTCATTTATCCTATATTATATATAAGCTCATATGTACAATCGTATTGTGATCTTTGTAATAAGCAATGCACCACCCTACCCTCTAACTCTTGTTATTATGATCTGAGAACTGTTAGTACATTCGATTTTCCTAACTCAATCTGGAATAAATATTAAAACATTAATTGGATAATAGAAAGGCAATCTTGTTTAAATAAAACGCTCAATTGGTATTACTATTTCCAATGACTGCATCTTACCAATACATTTTTGTGTTTAAGGTAAAGCCGTTTAATTTTTTAAAAAGTTTATGCTTTAGTAGTTTTGGAAATACAGATTGCGATCATAACCGAAATCTACTAGTTTCCACTCTGTAAAGAGTAGACCCTATCCTAATATGATCAAAGCTAGCTATTGCTCATTTTCATATACTTTTAAAAGTCTTCTGCATTTATTTAATTGGGGCCTTTGATTTTATAGGAGTATTTTAACACTTGAATGATTTTTTCGAATCAGCAATGCTTATACTCCCAACATATTAACTTGACAGTTTTGAAGTGAGTAATTATTAACATAACGATACATCAGCTCCATATAGAACAAAAATTATAATATCCCGTTTTGATGTATAATTTAGCTAGAATTGTAACTTTCTTCTATAACAGCCTAAATGAAGAAATTTTGAAATGAAGAAAGAACATTAACAGCAAAACAAGCTTCCCCTTTGGAAACTTCCCAAAATGTTTGGTCATTTAGTTGCCATTTTCAGCTACAACAACTTAGTACCTGCCTTTAACCTTGAAGCTCGTACATTCTGTGCCCAATAGGCTGCTTGTGGCTGTGTGGGTTGGTTGGTTTAAGGCATCAGTTAATCATGCGGTCTCTTGTTGCATGCAGTTCAAAGTGGATTAGGGATTCTTTTAGAATGTAATTGTATTTATTTACATAAATGTTTTTCTTAACAAGATGTGCTGCAAGTTACGTCACCAAGCTAGAACAGAAATTGTCATCATCCGGTGGTAGATTCCAAGCATTTTCAACACCCGGTTTTTTTCCACCAGCACTTTGGTCTGTTCAACGCTCACCCAATGAAGCTCTACAGTGGAAACTTTTTCCTCACAAAAAACAATCTGAAGACAGCCCCAGATTAGTTTCAAACGGTGTCGCTCATATTTCTGGTAAGCCGGTTGATGAGAATGTGCAATATTCGACATGCGGCAAGGTATATTTTCAAAAATTTATTTACGAATTTTCTTAGTTTGCCGATCTTTCGGTAGATAAGAAGTTGTTGGACAATATTGTGTTGTCAAACCTAACTGATATGACTCCAGTTCAAATTCATACTATCCCACTGCTGCTGGCAAATCCAACGACTGCTGAAGACTTCGGTAATGTTGGCTTGTACGACCTAATGGCTGCAGCGCAAACAGGGTCAGGGAAAACGCTTGCTTACCTTATTCCTATTCTTCACCGAATTATGTGTACATATCCCTCTGATTCCATGAATGCTCTTGTAAGCCTTTCCTTACACACTTTCTATGCTTTTATTTCTTGTTTTATGCCTCTTGCTTTTTAATTCAGGTAAATAGCGACTATCAAATTCAATTTCCTCTAGCTTTGATCCTTGCTCCTACTCGGGAACTTGTTCATCAAATCAGATTCGAGACAAGCAAGGTGGGAGCACTTAGACAATTTTTATTGCATTTGATTCCTTCTTTTACGTTAATTTTTCTATTCAGCTCTGTTACCGAAGCAATGTACGACCAGTTGGTCTCTTTGGGGGTGAAAAGCCTTATCGTCAAATGTCAGAACTCAGTCGTGGTTGTCATGTAGTTGTTGCAACCCCCGGGAGACTTCTCGACTTCCTTGAACAGAGGCTTCTCAACTTAACATTCTGCAGGTAAGTCATTCAGCGTTTGTGCTATATGTATTATGCATAGTTCAACATTGTTCGAACTTTGTATATTTAAGAGGCTACAGCCGAATTTTGATGAATCTTCATTTTATTTGATTTAACAATGATGTTTGTGGAATATCTGTTTACTTTTGCTTCTCTCTTATTTGTCAGACTAACATTCACTATAATCCTTTATGGGGTACAATTATTCATGTTCAAAGATCAATTTTGGTTGAATTATTAAGTTCATTATATAATCGACCTTTAGAAATTTAGTCATTGATGAAGCCGACCGTCTTCTTGATATGGGTTTCGAACCTCAACTGCGGAAAATAATCCAATCTCGCAAATACGGTATGCCCGCCGTAGAGGGTCGTCAGACAGCTTTTTTCAGTGCCACTTTCCCACCCAGTGTGGCCCTCTTGGCTCGTGACTTCCTTCGTGGTCCCCGTTGTATCTCCCTCAACATTGTTCACGGCGAAACCGCAGATGATGGCCTTCTTGTACCCGTATGGGGCCAAGCTGTCAAGAGAGGCAAACAGGGAGCTGAAGATGCCTTCAAACAACTCAAAGCTACTGTGCCAAAAGAGATTGTTCAACAGATTGAGTGGGTAGAGGACCAGGAACCTAGTCGGGCTGGGCCTTCTAATTCAATGCTTGAACGATTAGTTGAGACTATCAACTCCTTAGCTGGATCTCGTAAGTGCTTATTTTATAACTTTGTATGTTAATTCATAATAAATTTATCCTCATAGCCACAGAAATTCCAGAAGGCGAGTCTTCTACATCTAAAGAGCGTGTACTGGTTTTCTGCAATACAAAACTCGAGGTAGAGCAGGTGGATCGTTACTTAATGAAGCAAGGATTCAAATCAGTGGCTATTCATGGTGGTCGCTCACAGCAACAGCGAAATCATAGTGTACAACTTTTCAAGGATGGTAGATTTAATGTTCTTGTGGCAACATCTGTAAGTCTGCTTATACCATATATCTTGGATGTATGACAGAATTATCGTTTGCAACAAACATGTCCATTTTAATTAGTGGTGTCTATTTGGCAAGTATGCGTAATTAGGGCTGCTTTGGTAGGTCGGATGAATTATGTGGTAAAAAGATTCTTGTTGGTTTTAGTATATCTGCAAGTGAGTATCGATTGGTTTTCTTCCCTTAGATAACTGTATTTTTCCTAGTAAAATGGCTTGACTCCCTTCCCAGAGCCTCTCATCATTTCCAACGCACATTCGGTTATTTTAGTGTATTGTTTTTCAAAAACCGAAATCGGCATTCTTTTAGTCCTACGAGTATGGAAGAGTTCACAAAGCCAAAGAGGAATTTCAATGTGCCCTTATTTTCGAGCAGTCATTGTTTTATCTTTTAACCAGATGTGCGTCTGAGGAGGCATTTATCATAAACTTAATTAAAGTGCAAGTGCTGTAACCACTCAGTTAGCAGTAGATAACACTAATTGAGAATGTCTTAGTACTAAGAAGCAATCATTCCTTCTCTTATCTAGGTAGTTGCTCGAGGTTTGGACTTCCCACGTGTTAAAGGAGTAATTAACCTCGGTCTCCCTCTGGGTCTTGATGAATACGTCCATCGAATCGGTCGAACAGGTCGTATGGGTCAATCAGGTCGAGCCATCACAATTGTCTCCTCCAGCAACATTCGTGGTGACAAGTATTTGCAGGGCGTCGCACGTGGGATCTGCCGTCTCATTGCTGATCCCAGCTGTCTCCCCCAGCAATTCACTGAATCTGCTAATTGGCGCCCAGAAGATGGTAACTCCTCAGATGATGAATCCACGAGCTTTAATCATTCCCGTTTCCAATCTCCCTGTCCTCCTCAACGTCTCAACAACCGTTTTCCACAGAAACGTCACAATGGCTCATTTAGACGGGAAGGTGGCGGAGATTGGTGGAAAGGAAAAAACGTGGGGAATTTTTAATGATTCTCGTTCTTTTTTGCACAAGGTTCTCATGTAAAACAAGTTCCTAGATTGAATAGAATATCGAATTTACGACAAAACCACATTTTTAGGTCTGCTTACTTGTCAGGGTGAAAGAGACCTTAGTAAAAAGATCTAGGTTTGTGAATAATCATATTACTGGAATTCTTCAATAACTGGGATTAATATGATCGAACTTTGAATAAATCAGATCTCTAGAATGGACAAAGTAGAAGCACTATATAATTCCATGAAAAGTTTTTCATCCTTACTAATGTGAGCGAGGAAATAGCACAGTGTCAAAAGCATCGCTGTTGGCCAACTATTTTCCTTTCTATTGGGTTAAAATTATAATGAATGAAGGAAGAAGTCTACTTTCCTCTATATGCTATGAATGATATCCTCGGCACATTAAGCAATAAGGCCCTTTTATCATAAACTCGCCTCCACACCTCTTTATTCTGAACTCCACGATGTGTAAATGAATTACTTTCGTCAAATAGACTTTTTTAGACAATTGTGATTTGAATTGTTGACTATGCCCCGAGGCATTGCCTCACTTTTGTTGAGCGCTAATAAAAATGAAAGGAATGATATTTCCACCACAACAATGCGTATTAGTATAATTGCTTCAACCCCCCCCCCCCTCCCCCAACATGCAGTCGACTTTTCAAGCGAAGTAGAACTGCTGGTAGAACCGAATTAATACAAAAAACTTAAAGATCTTACATTTCAAACGCATCTTCATACATAGCAATAAGTACGGGGAAGAAGGGTTGGTAATTTTTAGTTATTGAACCAGTTACTGGGTAGGCATTGATAAGTCTTAAGTCGAGCGCTGTGTTTTTTATGGTTCTCAAATTCTAGCTTCCTTTGAACAAATTTCCATATATTCCCATTTAAGTAATTCCTTCAAGTTTGTATAGATCAAGTCCTTTCGAACCACACACCATAGCCTCCACTTGGCCGCCGTGATTCCAAGTGGTGCGTTCACCACTCCACCAAGTGCATTATACAATTTAATGAGATAGTCCATATTGCATTCCTCGTCTTCTTCCTTGACATCCCTCACCACTGCGAATATGATTGATTGACGTGAAGTTAAGGCTCCAGCAATTATATCCATTTCCAATTCAATGGGTTTTCTTAGATCAATAAAAATTATGATGGCACTGAAGTCACGAAGATGTCTCAGCTGTTCGGCTCTCTTCTGCTCATACACTTGGGGGATGCATAACATTTCATTAATCTGTGACCAGTAATCACTAGAATAGTAACGCTTCAATTCGAATTTCACAGCAGGTTCAGGTAGTTTTGGATCAGATCTAATAGTGTCAACCGAAGTACGCAGGTGGGCCAAGGCACATTCAATTGGGTGCTTTGCAGGATTGTCGGACATGAAGGTGAGAAGCGGATCATCTGACAATATTAGAAATTTGACATGATCAACTCTGAATGAATTTGCATGTATTTTTTGGTGATCATAAGGATAGCGTCGAGATGATTGCTGATAAACTAAAGCCTCAGCAGAATTAAGATATTTATGCGGAGTCGGTTGAGGAAGTAGCACTAAACAGAGACATAAATCTAGCCAAGCTATATCTCTTGCATGATTTTCCACAACTGAGGCAAAGCGGTCGATTTTGAGGGCATAATCCCAGTAAGGGATTGCAACGCATGACGATGCTATAGAGGGAGCATCCAAATATTCAATAATTCTGGCCACAATTTCAACAGGTAAGTGATAGATTTTCCGATAACTTGTGTATTCACCCAATTCAGTTATAAACTTAATAAAAGGGAGAGGATTATTGCCGGAAACCTCCACTTACCATAATTTTCCAAACTGTTTCCAATAACAAGTGATAAACGAATGACTAGAACTCATTGGTTTTGAAAACTTTGAGCGATAATTTGCCAAGGTCGATAAAGTAATTTTACATCGTGTGGGTTGTCTGCTATTTGATCAACAATAAACAGTCATATAAAAGCATACAGGATCGGTAAACAACCATTCCTAATTGCAACCAATTTGTTCCCTGTGGTAAACAAGAATGGATCAGATTTACCATATCATAACTTATAATTCACGCAAGAATCCAGGTGTAATCATGTCAAAAGTCTTTTTAACCGCTGAAGCTATCTTGGAATTGGGATTCGATAGCTACTTTAGAACTTTGCTGGGGGCAGCTTCAGTTTGTAAGACTCCATTACTGCACATAGTTCCACAACTTCTCAGACAACCGGCCATCTATTTAGGAAGTGTTGGACAGGCAATCATCCATCACCAAACAAACTGACATGTTTAGAGCTTCTTGCATTTCTAGCGTTGATGTTGGCAGACCTACAATGGGCACTTAGTTACGTAGGCGCTTTCCTTACCAAAATGGTGGCCCTCATCTTGTGTCTTTGAAAAAATCAAATTAAATTAACAAAGCATCTTCACTTCTGTTATCCCAAACTTGGACTCAAATAATTTCCAACCTGAGACGACACCTGTATCAACATTAGGGTAAATAATAGGTAATGAGTAAAGAGGTAGGATAGCAAAATGGATTAATTAACTTGACAGCATCAAAACATGCCATTTTCGTATATTCTTTTTGACGACCTATTTATATTTTCGTCTTTAACATCTATTTAATTAACATTTTCCGTTTTCAATGGTGCACCCAATCCTGTTTGTTCAAGATGTTCCCAATAGCGAAACTTTAAGAAGATTTAATTCTTCTTCTGTTTACCTTTTAGAGACTTTTGAACTCTACCCTTTAGCAGCGATTTCGATGGGAGCAGTATTAAATGTCGACTGCGGCTGACGAATAGGTCATCGAGCACGTCAGCCAAAAGAGAACTCACATGATCTCTACTCATTGGTGCTTAGCCCATGATGTGGATGACCAAATATAGCAGTTAATTTTTATCAAGAGGGGAGGAGGAGGGGTTGGTTAACTAACATTTTCCATAATGAGCTTAAGTGGTATTTAATAGAACTATTATTTTGTGTGGGGAACACAACTTTAGCATGGCGAAACTAGAGGCCTCTCGACTAATCAACGGCAAAGTCATAATATCGTCATCATACCGGAAAGCGTATACTGCGAATAAGTTCCCCATCTGTAATTGGACAGTCCCAAATAAATTTGTTCCACGTGATACGTCTGCTTCCTCTATAGCTCTGCGAAAGCTAAGCTAATTCTTGGAGTCTTTCTAAACAAAGGTTATAATGCCATTGAGATTACTGAATATATTCAAGTCTTATTTACGTAGCAATTCGCTACAATGATTTTTACAAATCTGGGGTGCGCGATGGACTTACCTTCATGTAGTGCACCCTGGGCAACGTATTCTCATACGGCAAAATTCTATTAACTGGCAGTTTACTTCTCACTTCAAACTACCATCACCCCACTCTATGCCATATTCCACTGCTTCCACAGTAATCACCTCATATTTTTTCTACCTTTGTGTCTGTCTCTTACATCTTTGAAACACTCTTCTGTGCCCCCCCCCTCGACATTTTTAACCTTGATTTTCCTTTTCCTCTGTGAAGCCTAAAGTCAACTAAAGGGCTAATGATAACTAACACAACGTCTGGCATTTGAAATAAATAAATTTTTATAAGATCTTTGAATGCGATTTTTAAGTGCCTGAAATGTGCATATGCTTTCTGCAATCACCATTTCTATACTTTAAGTAATCACTAGTGCTAACCGATAATTTACGATCAATTTTGAAAGAACACTTCGTATTATAATTTATATTTTAATTCCTCTAAAGTACAATAGGTTTCCTAATGTCATACTCTTGGTATCAATTACAATTTCATATAAAATCATCCACCGCGCATGGAAAGCAAACATTTTTCACTAATAAAAACCAAATTGAAAAAACTCTCCTTTAGAAGAAAAAAGAAAATTTAGTTATAAAATTATCATTGATTTTGATTAAACCCTCATTTGAAGTAATAACATGATCCATTTAACCATTTTATTGGCATTTAATTTAAGGAGACTTTGTTCATACAATTAGCTTTTGAAATGGTCAATGTTATTTATTTCCAAATATTAGTTTATGGAAAATGACGATGGTTGAATTTGTAGAGAGTTCAAACTTAACATGATTGAACTAAACTTGAGCCATCTGGAGCATGCGGCCGCTCTACTGATCGTACTGGGGAGCAAATGAGATCACGAGGGCGTAGAAACTTGTTAACCAATCAACAATCAATAGGTATTGCATAGTGAAGGTATCTAAAACCGTAACAGTCCGCTAATAATCTAAGCACGGCTAATATTGTGGGAGAGGCCTTCCCAACAGATCACCCTTGACAATTTATAAATGATGAAATGGAAATTGAAAATCAGTGGGAATGAAATGGGTAATATTTTACAAACACCAGCTACTAAGGGAAGCAATATTTCATAAGTACGACAAAAATTGTTATTTTTTAATTTAATATTTGATCATTTCGAGTTAACTGGCGGCTAAGGCCTTCCCAATAGATTTTGAGAATTTGCTTAACTAGTTCAAGTTTTACAAACAAGCTTTAACATTTTATAACTGTACATGTAGAAAAAATAACACTTTGAAATTAAAAAATAAAAATAATGAAAACTTGGTGCTTTTAGTTTAAGGGATGTGGGTGGGGTGGGGGGGGGGGGGGGGGGGGGGGAGAGTACAGCATAATGCAGCGCATATTTTATGGAGCAAAGCGAAATTGTTTAACTGTTTCAAACAACGTCAATGAAAACTCCTCGGGTTTCAAACTACGAATCAAGACCAACCAGAACTGTGAGTACGCATTTCGGCACCCTGCCGCAATTGTTAAATTTGTTTACCACCCAAAAGTGGTCGCCGAGGTCTTTAGAAAGGTAAACAACTTCTCTACTCTAAAAATAAGCAGATGAATAAAAGTCATTATTGATAAAATGCATCAAATCTTTGTCTTCGCAAATTTTCGCATATATGCTTTGGCAGTTTCAAAAAGGTATTGATAAATCTGCGTCATTTTCTAATTTCTTTTGCAATATTCAAAATATCGAGTATTATATGCATTGCCTTTCAACAGACTCCTTACTTTTACAGATAACTCTTCATTTGTAGAACCGGTGAAATCGGTGGTGACAGAGGCCCTAGGACGCTGGTAAAGGGTTGTAGCTAATTCACTTTCTGAGAATGGGAAACGAACGAAATTACTCGGCACCGCTATGACATCCCCTGACCACGTCATGCATTTCAGCACCTTTCCGTAGAGTTGCATACCAAGGCTGCCCTGGTTATACCTTGAATTGGGGTCGATCCATTCCACCACATCATTTACCTCAAAGGTAATAAAGGATGATTTGGAAAAGAGAAAAATAAATTGGCACTTTGTTAAGCTTGAAAATATATAATTACTTTGTAACCTAGGTCCTTTACTGATTCTCCCTCCGGTACATTTTCTATAACCAACCACACTTTCTGAAAGAGTTGTACAAAATATTAGATAGTACTATAAAACATTTCTTGAATTTTTGCAAAATTTCACATATTCTTACCCGTCTATCATGTGCAAATTCTTTCTTAAATCTAAAAGAGGCAAAATATTTGAAATGGTAGTAGAAATTTTTTTATAACTTAAACGGCTTATAAAAATTAGAATATTTCGTTTGAAATTGAAGGTAATAATAGGGAAATTCCTGTCCCAAGAGCCGTGAAAGATTCAAAAAAATCGAGAGCATAAGACAAATTAGAAATTGAGTAAGGTGCGAATTCTTGTAACTTCCTGAAATAGCCGTTGATAAAAAATTGCACACTTAACTGAAATGGTAAATTTCATTCCTAGAATATTTCAATTATTTAAGTCAAATTCTTGTAAGACAATTGGAATGCCTATGTGGTGATCTAGATTGTCATTGACCTTTTCAATGGACGCACATTTCCCTTTCTGTTTACGGCTTCTCTAGTTAATTTCTTTATTTCTCTCAGAGACTCATTAGCTTTTCAAAATTTAGGTCTGATATTGTTTAATATTCTGAGTGCTCTTCGTATACTGCCACATTTTTTCATGCTGATAAAAATTCACTATTCGATTAATTGGTAATCAATAAGTTGTAAAATTTCTTTCCCTATTCACTATTGGCCAATTGTTCATTTATGCATAGGTGTATTTTCTTTCCTTATTCTCTATTAGCCCACTTTAGAGTAATTTACTGATACGACTGTTTCGATAACGGATCACTTCTGAAAACAGAGTTTTTACTTTTATAAATAGTAAGGAAATCAACTCTGATTCTTCTAAGATGCATGCCTAAGATTTTCCTACTGATTACCTCTCCATTACTAAATTGCCAAATAGTTAAGCTCCTATAAACTACGAAATGAAACACGGATAGATTTATTACGATTCAAGGTGAACGAGAATCAATGATCGATTCGCAGTTGGGCCTCGGGTACAATGATTAAACTGTTTGTTTGATGCAGGCATAGTACAAATTAGACAAAATCTCACTTGGCGAGAGAGGGAGAGAGAGAAATGAGTCAATATGCATTAAGAGAAAAATTTAATGAAAGGTATTGAAGGCAATCCTTTATACCCCGAAACTCGTTTCCAGGTCAGTTTTTCACGAAGGTGTCATCAACGCTAAGCTTTAATCAAAAAGAACTCCTTCATCTGCCTTAAGTTTAGGTCTAATGAACAATGTTGCACCATCATAGATCAGTATAAACAAATACCGTTTCTTCACACGAACGGAATTATCGCATTACCCTTGTTTCTCATTTTGAGAGCTGTAGATACTGTTGTCGAGGTCGTGTCTACCATGCAGACTACAACTAATTGTTTCGTTCAAATAGAGCTTCTGATTTTATTTCCAATTGCAAAATTTTACCTCGCAGGGACATCTTTATGCTTTATGGGGTACCCATCGTTTAGTTTAAAAAAAGTGTAGAAAAATAATGCCATTGCAACTCACTTTTCAAAACTTTCATCTCTCTACAACATTTAAATCAGAAATGAGCAAATAATAATTCCAACTTGAGGCATCAAAATTAAAATTCGGACTCACTTTCAATTCAGGCCTCATGGGTATTTTCGGGGTAGTTTTTGTGTCAAAAGAACTGATCATTAAAGAAAAATCAATAACGTTGAGTCGTTAAAGTTTTTTTACAATGGAAGTAAACTTTTTGCTCTCACTTACGTAGTAAATTCGCTGGCATTTTTCTGGTGTGGTAGAAAGACAAACAATAATAGTAATTTAAGCAGTCAATGTTAAGAGGTAGGAGGTAGGAGAAAAGTGTAATATATTTCCTACTTTTGGGCAAGTTGAACTTGCTAAACATTTAACATACTAATCTAGGGCCCAATAATTAAAATAGACATCATATATAGCTCTCAGATTATATAAAAGTATGTTAAAATAAATTTTAAAAGCTCATACTGCTACGAACTGGAGGTAATTTGTGATGCACTGACTGGGAACGTTTAGTATCTGCACATTGTTGAAGTAGTCTAAATTATTTGGGGAGCAATTTCATTCTAAGGTGTTTCGGCAGAGGGAAGACTGTCAAGACGTATTTCTGTGACATCTGTCACTTATCTGAGATCGTGAAACATGCACCTCTTGGCAACTCTAAAGGGCACCAATTACATTTTAAGGATTTGTGCAGATGTGAGTCCAATTCCGTTTCCCCAAAATTGAGAGGAAAAATAAATGTTTCTCCCAAATATTAGAGGATAAAAAATTCGCTCAAAAAGTGGGTGATGAAGGAGAGTGAGAAAATCAGGCAGTGGGAATGAAGCGTGCGTAAGTTATGTTAGTCCCGTTCGACAACCAAATCAAGTATGCTAATCGGTCGAAAACTATAATTACTTCCCTTATTGTTTCTAGGGCGATATTAAGTTGCAAGCAATTTCCATTGAGGTCACAACAAATTATACTTAATAAGGAAATAAGCTAAAATAACTCTTTAACTCACTTCTTATCCCAATTGGACCAATAAAGTCCGCATATGAAGGGGTCACCGTAATTAGATAGAAAAATTACGCTTAAGGGTCGAACCAGCCAATCAGAATGACGAATTACTTAACCACCCAATCATATCCTGGCTTTTATGAGTACCTGATAAGGAAAAAGACCCAACCATTTTCAAAGTTCTAGTGGATACTAACGGTAAGCGCAAAAACGAACAAGTTGATTGGAACTTCTGGTATGAATGTGCTCATTACTCTTCCACAACATTTAAAATTCAAGTATGATAAACGTATTTTAAACATAAATCTTACTTTGGCAAGGAAACTGTTCACCTCGTCTATAAATTCTGGCGATTGGCTTTCAACCAAATGAACGAATGGACTCAAACTATTCTTCTCCGGCTTTTTAGTTTAAAAAATTGCAAATAAAATAATTATTAATGTATATAGACATAATTTAATTTTAATAATGTATGAATTGTGAGATACGATCTTACCGCATATTTTGGAGAATTCTGTTGGCATGGAATGTATCTGAACAATTGATTAGGCAAAAGATGATATTCTACTTTCATTTAAATGGGACTTTAACCGACAAAATGCCATATTAAAACCATAAATACAATACATTTGTATCAAATTATATATTAATGTTCGTAGACATTTTAAACTAAAGTATTTACGTCTTTCACTTTTATTTCAGATGAATTACACCTACCCATCGAAAGAAATTTTCTGCAAAATTTGAAATAGAAAATGTTTAAAGAACAGTTTAAAACACGGTGAAAAATGACTAGTTTTTAGTTTTATAGATAAAGGCAATAAGACCAAACCAAAGATAGATTATTAATAAAATCAAATCGCGTATGAAATATGAAAATATTAAAAAGCTCAAACGACCGCCTTGACTTTATTTAGGTTAGCTCTGCTGGAAGACAATGCAAATGTGAATAGTCTTTCAATTAAAGCATTTGTACACAAGGTCTGGATACCACGAATATGACATCACTCAGAAACCCAAGAATAGAATGATGAAAATTGAGGTTCGAAACATGTCAATATGAGTTATATTTCCTGTGAGAGAATATGAATTGTAAGCTCCCGGAATTCAAATAAAGTTCTGGCCATTCTACTCAATCATCCCATTCCCGTTATCTCTTGCTAATTCGCCTTTCTAATTTTCTCCTTTCATTGGATATCCCTCACAATCAAAACGCTTGTTTTTTCACTCCAGCAATAGCTTGCGCGTTCACCGATCAATAACTATTGCTTACGTCATTTAGTAAAAAATGATACGGCCTTTCCTAGCGCAAACGTGAGTTAAAAATAGTCAATAAACAGTTCATAATAAAAGGCATGAAAAAATTATAATTGACCTTCGGTAATCCTGCGATTGTAGGCACTGAAGCGGTACCACTTTAATACCAAAAAAATAAATAATTAAATAAACTTATTTGACGGAAAATATAAAATAAATAACAAATAAATGTTGAATATGTGATGATTCTGTAGCGCATGTGACTAACTGATAATTTATAGTGGATCTAAATAGTCAGTCACTAATCCCACTGTTAGTTTTTCGTAAAAAAACGCTGCAATAACAATTACTTATATCAACTACTACTGTTATGTAACTGCCAAATATTGGCACAATCCTGTGAAATGATGCATTTTGAGCGATAGGACATGACATTGTAAATAAGGTTGTTTGGTACGCTTTAAATAAATTTCCTTCAAGACACACAAACTGCCGTAGATTCAGTTGAACACGACCCTTAGTTATTGCGAGGCTAATACTGAAGTGTGTGTTAATAAACAGGTAAACATAGGAGCACACTGACTAAGGAGAAAATTTATTTATTTATATCAAATGGCAGGCTTAATGATAGTTATCATTAAACCCTTAGTTGACTTCGGACCTCACAAAAGGGGCAAACATCAAAGTCACAGAGTTGGGGGGAGGGGGGGGGGGGGGGAGCAGAAGAGTAATTCCCAGATGCAAAGAGACAGACACAATGTTAGAGAAAAAGGTAAGGTAAGGTGAGTGTTGTGGAAGTGGTGGAATATGACATACAGTGGGGTCATGGTAGTTTGAAGTGAGAAATCAACTGCCTGTTTAAACACTTTTTTGCCGTATGAATATACGATGTCCAAGGTGCACCGTGTGGAGGTAAGTCTATCGCACACCCCTTAAGGAGGGGATAGTAAATAATATCTACACTTGCTAAAAATCCCAGCTGATAGGGAGGGGTGTGGCCAAAACGACTACGAATCGTTTCCACTTAACTTTTGATTCATTAACGCGACATATCCCTCCTTTCCCTCTTTAATTGGGCCATTCTTCATTATTAGACATTCAGAGCCAATCATGGAGGACTTAAAGTAGCCATGCCCAAATGCTATGAATGTACATGTTAACAAAAATCATCAATTTTCTTGAACAATATTTCTATATTTCACTTCCACTTTTTAAATATTCTATCAATACTTTTGCCCTCCTTACGAATATTAAATGGTGAGTTTTTTTGGCTAGCACTAAAGACTGATTTGAAGACATCTAACTAGAAACTGATGAATTCATCTTAGTATAAAACCAAATATTTCCCATCGAATTCTGCTATATTCAAAATTCCTACCTTTTCTTTAGAAGGATACTAATGAATCGGAGAGAAGCATACAACTCAACTAACAAGAAGTTGAGTTTTTTATCACTTTGATATTACCAAGTACGAATACAAAGAAGTGGAGAGGCTAGAATTAAAACATTGGAAGGTTCATTGCATTCTGACCACATTCTGTACACCCCATTCGACCTCCGTTTCATGCCTCAATGAAAGTAGTCAAGTGATTTGCTTTTTGACGTTTTTAGTATCTGATAAAATATTTTGGAGTTTTTCTTTAATAGCGACGTGAGTAATAGCGAGTCATTTTCCCATTACTCATAAATGGCTCGTAAATTCAAACATTTTATAAATTTAAACACCAAATATGCAATGCCAATCGACAGTACCGCGGATAGAGAACCACGTGGATTAATTGCGATTAACAAGACGAGGAACAGGGGAGCTTGGAAGTAAGTGAGTTTTTAAAACTAGCAACTGCAGAGCACGTTCCTTCTTTTCCCCTAATGAAATGAGTAATTTCTTAAACTTTTGCAATGAATCCATCCCTCTCAGAGTTTAAAATATGCACTCACTTGTCCGTTAAATTTAACGTAAAAAATTGAAACAAGTAGAATCTATCTCCTTGACAATGAATAACTTACATTCCCCCAAATAATGGTTTCTGAAATAGAACAATTTTAAAGTAAATTTTAACGTTGATAACCATCTATTAATTGCATTTGACAATTTCTAACAATAGTTTTGGGAAGTAATAAAGTCGGTGGTTCAGACGACTCAAATCTAACAAATTTAAAAAAAAAAGAATACACGTCTTGTAAGTCCAATTTCCTTAGGAGTAAAATAATCAAATCACATACGAATCTAGTTTAGGATATAATTGTCGGAAGTTGG